GGAAAACAAAGAAACTTTAGTTATTTAAAATAAAACAAGTTTTTAAGGTAGTCAGAGAAATAGAAAAAAAACACACTGTCTGTTGCATGTATAAACCGATTTTAGCAAAGTGGAACAGTCGCCCGACTATAGTCGGTACATCTCTAGAAAAAGAATTCACGAAAACAAAAGGACAAAAACTCCCAGACCCCAACGACTTGGTTGAAAGGTTAAAAAAAGTTGAAAGACACAGCGCGACTTGACCAATATCGTCAACAAAGATATAACTTCAAAAAAAATTCAACGAGGGAGTTTCAAGACTACGAGATTTAGAAGAGTTGCCAAAAATAAAAATTGTTCCATAAAAGGCTCTTATACTCGTATCTACATTAAGATTTGCTGATTGATAAGGTTCTTTCACCGGATACGGAAAAGTTATCCAAAGTCGCAGGAACGAAAATTCCCATCAAGAGCCCAACATCGCAACCTACCTTTGACAGCAGTGATGAAATAGAAGTTTTTAATTTCAACTGTAGTAGCATTCGGAAACCCTGATGTTGAATGCTTTTTTAATCTGAATCTGAATCGAATCTGAACCATCCGGAGATCATCTGTCTTACAAAAATTTGAGTAACCGAAGAAGAATTATTATCAAACTTGACATTTATCAAATGGCAGCCTAATTCTGCAGGAAAAGCATCATGGGAGAGTGTGTTTCAATTTAGATCTCATTTTTAACAAGACAAACTTGAATAACCTATGAAGGAGGATGAAACTTCTTTTGAGGGAGTATTATTAGACGCTATAGTAAAAAATCATAAGTTACCTCTTTATAGATCACCGGGAAGTGATGGTACAGTTTTTTTGGAAAAACTAGAAAAATGTCTCTACAACACCGCAAATCGAGGTAAATCATTCTTTGTGTGTGGTGATATTAACATTGACTTTTTGATCAACCCATTAAAAGTAGAGAACTATAGACCTATTTCCTTTTTATATACACGAAGCTTTAATTCAATTTGGTAATACAATTTTCTTAAATTGTATTTATTTCCCTTGAAATTAGTCTGTTTATTTCCTCTTGCAACACTTTACAGTCCTTTAATGATTTTATTTGAACAAAAAAGGTTAAGGTCATCCAAAAAGTAGGTTATAGCTGGATATTACATCCACCAAAAATGACAAACAATAATGGCCCTAGGTTCGAACCTTGCGGTATACCGATCCCATATTAAAAAGTATTACATAGATATGAAATTACGACGCTTAACAAATAATTCTCTTCTCAGTGGGTACGATGTCACAAGAGCTAGTAAGAGTTGAGCAGCTAAAATATTGAAGATTTTTTAAAAAGATGTAGTGATTTATCTGATCAACATCTTGCGAAAATCAGTGTAGATAACGTCTAACGTCTGATATTAATTGCTTCACAAACGAAGAAACGATTTGGCTGAAAGTAGCGAGATTAGTAACAGTTGATATAAAGCCGTGCTGAAAAGGTGTTATAAAGTGTTTATATGTGAATATATTCTTTTGTACGTTATAGATTTGAAGGCTTTTGCAAAGTCACATAGTATGTATATGGGTCTGTAATTGTCGCGTGAGATGGATCACCTTTTTTAAAGATTGGCGTAACCGATGTCTTTTTCCATAAATCTGGGAAAACTGATGATGTTAATATTAAATTTAATAGTTAGTAAACCGGTTAGACAGGATTTTTTTAATAAAAAACTAGGTATGTTATCGACGCTAGAAGTTAACGTTTTTAACATTTGAAGAATTTCATCTTCCGAATTTGTGAGATTGCAACAATTAGGTTAGATTGACTTTGTTAACTGGAGTGGATAATTCAGAATTTTGATGAAACAGGAGACCTGGAATTCTCGAATTTGTTTTCCTATTATACGATCAAAATTTATTCGGATCAGAAGAGATTTCATTTTGAATATTATGCATACCTATAGTTTTTGTAAACAGTGATTTTTAATACTTGACATAGTGATCTGAAGTGTTTAAATTTATCGAGATGACATTGAGATGTCATATTTTTTATGAAAGTAGTTTTTCTGACCAATAAAATTACAAATTAAGTATTAATAAGATCCTGGTTAAACCAAGGTGGAAACTTGCGATTTCTATTATTAAACTTAAAAATTCTTAGGGAGGATTTGAATGATTAATGCAATAAATCATAAAATATAGAACATGCATTACTTATATTTTTTATGTCGTGAAGAACTGACCAGTTGATAGATAGAATTATTATAAGTTGAACTGTTTTGAATTTGAATTCATTTGAAAATTATAAAAAGGCTTAAGTTCATGCTGGCATTGCATTTCCATTTGTAACTATCTTCTACAGTTAAAAGATTGATAGACTTATCAACAACTACATGAGTTAAATTAGAAGAAATAAGATCAAGACTTCCATTAGAAATATTACGGATAGTACTAAACTGAAAGAATTTAAGATGGGTAGAAAAATTATGTAATAATACTGAGAATCTCTCATTAGTCATTAGTATTAGATACAAAGAAAGGAACATTAAAGTCACCAATAAGGATCACTTTGGAATAAATTTTCTCAACATCACTAAGGAGATCTAAAAAGAGTTCATTCTCAATGAATGGGACAGAAGCAGAAATATCCAGTACAAATATAAAAAGATGTTTTCTACAAATTGAAGAGATTTTTAGACATATGCAATCAATAGTGGGAATAGCAGTGATAATTAAAGATAAATCAACTTCTACGCAGGTGTAATTTTTTTGCGGCACATAAAATACGCCCACCCCTTGAACCTCTTAATAAATTATAATTTGTATATTTTCTAAAAACTAACTAGTGTGAGTCACTATGTATTTAGCATCTATACTCACTGCTAGTGTTGTGGTATGAATTCGTTAGAAGAATTATCTTGAGACACCCATTTTTCAGATAATTCTATAAAATCGAAGTTACAAGTAGGTACAAACATTATAAAAACTATGCGTGGTGTGCCGTTCTAAAATGGAATCCTTAAATTTGTTTCCCCGTTCTTAATTCTATCCTTTAACTGCATTTCTATCAAAATTTAAGCTGATCAGACGAATTTAAATTTTTAGTTTTGAGAATGATGTAGGTATTGGTCTATTATGAGAATTTTGGAATTTTCTAATCTAAGACATTGCAAATGGAAATTATCGAAGTTAGTAAAGATGTAAATACTCAAAAAGTCGCTGAAGACATCGTCATTTGACTCAGGGGTAAAACATTCTTGATTAGCTCATTTTATGACGCCAGGAGTCGGATATTTGTTTTTTAATTTATATAATTGTTATGTATTTTTTATATTTCTTCAAGGTACACTTTTTTCAAAAATCGCATTTAGACAGTCATCAAGTTTGGCATATACAGTACTGACGTCTTTTGATTTTTTTAAAAACCACCGATCAATAGAAAACAGTTGATGTTATAATTAAAGGAAACTGGCCTTTCTGAAATTAAAATTATTACCGGAGCTTTTAATTGGAATCTCTGAAAATTAAAAATAGCAGCTGCTACTGATAAGTCGAGAGATGCTTGAAAAGGATCTTCAAGAACAGAGGCAGGTTTGATCTTTCAACAAGACATTTATCAGAAGAAAAAACAATACCCTTGGAGCAATATCCAGTTTTAGAATTATTTTACGTTCGTTTACATCGTTCCATTTTGTGTTAAATACTACTTTAATCTAAGCTAACGATGTAAATTCTTATTTATCTTTTACTTGGATAACATTTACAGTTTAAATGTGTGCTGTAATTTTAATGCAAATATTTAATATAACTTCCGGGTTGTGCAACTGTAATGTAATTTAATGTAATACAACACAGTGAGTGGAATGGTCTTTAGTAAATTTTCATATCATTACTTTTATTATTATGATTTTTCTTGCTGCATACTATAGTAATTTTTTGTAGACACTTTGGGGATTATTTTGCAGTAAAACAATTAGCATTAGAGAACGCTAGAGAAACTTATGATTTTATTAAGCAGCAGCCACTCGGAGATCATTTACCCTAGAACGCACGGGCATAGTTATAAGTAAGTTTTAATAGTCGGAGACTAGAATGTAAGATGTAAGGTTCCTCCAGAGTCCGAGAGTCAGGAACAATACGACTGCGAATGATACCCTGGCGCATTGCATCGCTAATTGCCAAGAACCTCAGTTCCGGAAAACTTAGCCGTGTGTTTCCTTCTGAGTGCCTTCAAGTCAGGAATATACAATTACATCGTTGCACTCGCACTGTTTCGAGGACGCCCTTTTCGACCACATGTTTCGCTTGAAATTCTGTACGAGATGTCCGCGTCAAACCTTGGGATTCGTGCCCATTTGGAATATTCTCGGGGGTATAAAGTTACCAAGGGTGATTGTTTCAACGAACCGTTGCGTTCAAAAATATTAATGCGTTGCCGTGGAAATCGCCACATCAAAAGCCATTTTGGGTCGTTAATTAACGTGATGGGTACAAGTGTCTCTTCCACGTTTGGGTCATTTTCATAGCTAATATGAACTTAACTAATATACTAAACTATTGAGCGAAGTAGCGTAACTAGATCTTCATTCGAGAACTTAGAGGTTGAAATTACAACGGCACAATTATTGTCTAAGATACAAGGTAAAACAAATTTCGTGAATATTATAAATTTATTTCAAAGTATTCGTTATTTATTTTATTAGTTGAAAATGTTTGATGAATTTTACTCAGTTATCCAGGGAAGTTCTGTCGAAATAATTTTCGACTAATTTTTTAATGACAGAATAATGTTAGAATTTCATTATTGTTAAGCTTAGTTAATGATCGAAGTTGGCATTTTAGGACCATACACCAACCATATCAGTCAGATCGAAATGTTAAATGTTCATTGTGGCAGGAACGTAATATTCCGAGTTTAATTTAGCCAGGCTGTAATCTCGTACAAGTGTCAATGTGTTTTTATTTATTACTTTGATGTAGACGTCAAACAGCTTTCTCCAGTATTCATTTTGAACGCCAGATTTGTATTCTTCCGCGAGAACAATTTTTCAGAGTCACTACAAACAAACAAATTAGATGAAGTTGATGCGGAGAACTTTATTATTCGCAGGTAATTTCGAGTTTCTCGAGAAGACAGTTACTTTATTGTAGGCAGTTTTCTCGGGCTTAAGGCGGCAACTTCTCTTCAAGTCTAAACGACGACATGAGTTTTATGGACGCCTATGTTTGATCATACGAGTTGACTTCTTAATCCTGGTAAGTTTCAGCGGAAAAACTACAAGCCGGTAATGGTAATTCATGCAATTTCCCGATCTCGGGATGGATTTTACAGAGTCTTATCAGCACGTTCCGTAATCTCGTAATTATACGTAAGATCAGGTCGCAAACGTTGACGTCATAGAAACTCAGATGTAATTTAATGCTTATCTTGTGAACGTTCGAGCTGTAATGTTGCAGGGGTAAAGAAACTGATATATTATCTTAATGTTATTCCACGATTTATTACAGAGTAGTCGATGAAACTGGGTTTACTGGCCACGGTGAAGCTGCAAGGAGATAAACAAATTTTATCGTTGACGTTATACTCCACTTTCTTAAATAATATCTTCCTTTATTACCACCAACAGCAGGGCGGTTAAATAGGTCAAGATCCTCTCATACTATGAAGAAGAGATTTCATTATTCTTGAAATGCTCTCTCAAATGTGTTAAATCGATAGTTTAAAGTGAAATAGAGCAGAACCGTAAGTCGTAAGAGTTGCAATCGCCTAAGTTAAAAGTAGCAGAAAACTTTAAGAAATAGTACATTTGCTGGGTTGCACTAAATCAAAGTTCTATATAACAAAACAAAGTGATATTACGCCATTATATTCATTCTGAGTAAAATAAAACGATTTTATATAATGTTCTTTCTCCAAGTGAAGATAATACAAGGATTTTAAATACTCTATACATGTTTAGCATTTAATAATATAATATTAAAGATAATCTAATATTTTATTTCCATTTACAACAGGCTAAACCTCCAATTACAAGAAACTCAAAAGATAATATAAAAAAAAACTTAAAGACAGCTACTAAATAAATAAAAGAAACAAAATAAACAAGGACCAGAAAACAACAATTTTTTTTTAAATAAAACGCCAGTAAATAAATATATGTAGAATTAAAACTGTGTTTAATTAAATACCGCCCAATATTACCAAAATTTCAAAAAATTTTCAATTGCATAAAGTAATACAAAATCGGATTTACTTTTCTAGCAACCGATAATACATACATATGTGAAGATATTTAATGAGAGTATTTTTTCAAGATATCCAACCAGACGTTCGAACTAAATTTGAAGTGTTTTACAATCATGAATGTCTCCATCTGATTTTATTATACGGGTACATATAATTTGTGATAGCATACAATAAATTTCTGCACTTTTGGAAAATCATTAATATAAGAGAGGGTCGAAGTTACTCCCTTGAGACACGCCTCAGGATGCTATAAACGAATTAGAAGTGAAATTATGACATCGAAGAAAGGGATTACGGTTAAATAAATAAGAATGTATTACTACTATTATTATCATTCCAGATAAAACATGTGTTTCCAATTTTTTGAGAAGAATTCAATGATCTATTTGAATTGATTTGAACGTTTTTGTAAAATCAGTGATATTACATCTATTTGATCACAACTATGAACTATTACAGAAGAATATTGTATAGAGCACGTTAAATTTGTGACCCACTCTGTCTGTCTGTCGTCTGTGTCGATTTTTATTAGACAGATAATCTCCGAAACTCCGTCATCGATAATTGTCAAATTTTACGTGTGTTCCGAGTATCTTATAGACGATAAAATACCAACCAAAATTTTTCTGATTATTTTCACCAACAATATGATGACGTCATCTCAAAATGTTAATAGTGAATGTTATAAATGAAATATATTCACAAGAATATGAAGAACTTTTACCGAAAGTTTTACTTTTACGTAATGCAAAAAAAAAGATGAAACGCGCTATGAATGAAAATAAAAAACAAAATACAATTACAAAAAAACCATTTAGAAATAAAAGTCAGTAGACTACCCAAAAAGTAATAACTTAAGATTAATATTTTGTATAATTTGCGTAAAATTACATGACATGGAGATCGGTCTATATTTCTCAATATTATCAAACTCTCCGGAGTGAGACAAGTTCTTTTCCAAGCAGTAGAAAAAGTGGACGTCTTCAATATTAAGTTGAACATATCGTCACCTGAGAACTTGTTTGATCCACAGACCGGAGCGCGCTCAGGCCAATGTCGACTCTAGCCTTTAGAATTTCTGCGGGAAGTGAGTATTATTTGGATACTTTTATTTAAAAACATACCTAATCACATATTTCACTCGATTTTGATATGCAAGTATTTTTTTGTTTGATTTAGAATTAATTCTTTAATTGTAAATTGAACAATCGGATAATTGGAAAATAGAAATATAGAAGAACTGAAAACTCGAGAAATTGAAAAACCTAAAATTTTAAAAACTGAAAATTTAAAATATCGAAAAGTTGAAATTGAACGAAATATCCAAAAATTGGGAAATAAAAAAACTGAAAAATTGGGAAATCAAAAAGTCAAAACAGCAAAGTCAAAAAATCGCAAACTTAAAAAAACAAAAAATTGAAAAATCAAAAACCCGAAAAATCGAAAAATTGAAGAACTGAAGAACGGAAAAATCTAAACTCTGGGAAGTCGAGAAATGGGAAAATGAAATAATAGGATTAGTTGAGAAATCGGTAAATTCGGAAAATTCAAAAATGTCAAAATTTGAAAAATTAAAAAATATTGAAAAACCGAAAAATCGAAAAATCCAAAAGTCTAAAATTTAAAACATTGAAAAATTAAAATATCTTAAAACTGAAGAATAAAGAACTCGAAATATCAAAAAATAAAAAAAAAAAAATAAAAATTCGAAAATCTAAAATTTAAAAATCGAAAAAATGAAAAATCAAGAAATCGAGAAATCGAAACTCGAAAATTGAAAAAGTTGGAAAATTGAAAAATCGGATAAATCAGAAATCGGAACTTCGAAAAATTCAAAAACTGAGACATCAAGAAATCGAAAAATCAAAAGATCGAGAAATCGAGGAGTCGAAAAGTTGAGAAGTCGAAAAATCGAAAAATCGAGAAACCGAAATAGGCCAAAATCGAAAAATCGAAAAGTTAAAAATGGAAAAATTGATAAATCGAGAGATTGAACAATCAAACATCGAAACATCTGAATCTCGATAAATCGAGAGCTCAATAAATTGAAAAATCAAAAATTGAAAAATTAAAATATAAAAGATATGAAAAATTGAGAATTCTAAATACAAGAGTCGAAAAATTTAAAGTTTAAAAAAACGAAAAACTGAGAATCCAAAAAATGAAAAATTGAAAAATCGAAAATCTAGAAGTTGAAAAATCGAAAAGTCGAAGAATCAAATTATTGGATAATCTCAAAACTGAAAGAAATATCCAAAAATTGAGAAATTGAAAAATTGGAAAACTGAGAAATCGAAATACCATAAAAGCAAAGTCGAAAAATGGAAAAATCGAAGAATTGAAGAACTGAAAAATCGAAACTTTGAGAAGTCGGGAAATGGGAAAATCAAAAATAGATTAATCCAGAAATCGGAAAACTGAAAATTTAGCAACGTCAGAATTTGAAAAATTGAAAAATAGAAATACTGAAGAACTGAAAAATCAAAAAATCGAGAAATAGAAACTCCAGAATTTAAAAAATTGAAAAATTGAAAAATCGGATAACTGAAAAATCCAAACATCGAAAAATTGGAAAATCGAAAAATTGAAAAGCCCAAAAGTAAAAAATAGAAAAACCTAGAAATCCAAAAATCGAAAAATCGACAAATTTAAAAATTGAGACATCGAGAGATCGAAAAATCAGAGGACTGAGAAATCGAGGACTGAAAAGCTGAGAAGAAAAGTTAAAAATTGAAAAATTGATGAATCGAGAAATTGGACAATCAAAACACGAAACATCTGAATTCGATAAATCAAAAAGTGAAAAAACTGAAAATCGAAAAATAATAGAAAAGAAACATTGGAAAAATCGAGAATTTAAAAATCCGGAAAATTGAAAAAACCGAAACTTTGGGAAGTCGATAAATGGGAAAATAAAAAAAAGATTAGTGCAGAAATCGGAAAACTGAAAATTTAGAAACGTCAAAATTTGAAAAATTGAAAAATCGAAATATTTAAAAATCGTAAAATTGAAAAGGACAAAAATTGAGAAATCGTATCATTGAAACATCGGTAAAGTGAGCAAGAAAATTGAAAAAAATCTAAAAATCGAAAATTAGAAGAATGGAAAAAATGAAACATCTACAGTTGAAGAATCGAGAAATCGAAAAGCCGAAACATCTCAATAACGTAGGTATTTATAAAACACAAGTTCAAAACTATGCTACTTTTTAACATTTAAATAACATTTATTCGACAAAATTGTACCATCAATTCCTGGGGACAACGAATAAATTTTGACTAACGATTTAACATGTTTCCAATAATTATTAATTGGAAAATTTTGATTTTTTTTCCAAAAATCGTGACGTCTAAGCTAAAAGCTCAACACGGATTGATAAACCGTGAACGGAGGATATAAAATTTAAATTATCTACTATTGTAAAATTTGTAGATTACGACATTTCATTGCTGATGACAAATTTTGGTGAGCGTTTTACCATTTGATAGTACAATTTGAAATGTAAATTTTGTCATTCGGGAACATTAAATATTAAATCGTTAAGATGTTCAAGAACTTTGTTCACTTATTCGTTGTAAATTCCGACCAGATGGTCGCAACGGGTTAGTTCGTAGTAGAGTGTATCAGATCAGCTCTAACGAAACTCGGCTTGTAGATAAATCGCTTATAGTCGATATTGGCCTGAGTGCGCTCTGGTTTGTAGATCAAACAAGTTCTCAGGCGGCGATATAATAAAGAGGTTTAACGAATATGTACGTGGAATCTTTTACATACATAGAAGGAAGGTAGAAATCCCGTCTGATCCTACTCTCAACCAATTTCTACTCAGCTTGAATACTTTTAATATGTTTTTCAGAAAATGCGCGATACCGTTCCTAGGAAGTTTGAAACTTTGCTAAGCACTTCATTTTTTCTGTTAAATTCTGACGAGTATGAATACTACCAAAACAGCGTTTTTTTTTTGTTTTGAGGAACTCGAAAAAATGGTTAGAAGTCCTTGCACCAAACACTTGAAAATATTAAACTTCAGAGAATTCAAGAATTAAATTCGTAATTCTTATTTGTTCTAACGAATTGCATGTCTAATAGACAGTTAAATGATTAATTATTAATAATCGATTAATAATTTGTTAAAAATAAGATCCTTAACGTCATTCTTTACAGTTGACAGATGTCATTTTTGACAATGTTTATTCGAATTTTAG